GCTGGAGAGATGGCTTAGCAGTTAAGAGCACTCACTGCTCTTGCAGAGGACCTGGGTTTTTTTCCCAGAACCCACATGGCAGCTAACTGCCTGAAACTCCAGGTCCAGAAGATTTGATGGCCTCTTTAGGATTCATGGGCATTGCACGCACAAGTGCACTTATGTATATGCAGGCAAAACACTCAGACACATAATTAATTAGGTAATTAGTTAATTGATAAAATGGAAGGTAGACAGCACCTGAGGAATGTGAAGGACGTTGAGCTCTGGCCTCCACAGGTACCTTCCCACACTGGCACTCACGCACATAGACATACAAAGAAACAGAAGTAAAGAACAGACATCCTATGCTCGTGTCCTAGCACTGCCAAAAGGCATGGCCATAAGCCGTGAACAGAAACAGATGTGTATCGTCTCCCTGCTTTGGAGGACAGGTCTGAAGTTGCAGGCGCCTCCAGGGGCTCTGAGACACAACCTGGCATGGGATTCTCCCAGTTTCTGATGGGCATCCCTGGCACCCTGCCTTCCTAACTTCAGTCCTTCCTCCACGTACACATATGTGGTCTGTTCCTTTATCAGTTCTTTGCCCAGCTTTTCCTGGAAGCACATTCACCGTTGACCTTAGAACTTAGCATAAATCCATGGTGATCCCACCTCAAGATTATTAATTACAACTTCAAAGAACTGTTTCCGGAGAACGTCATGTCAGAGACACTGCGCATAAGGCCAAGTGTGTATTCAGAGGACACAACTCAGCTCACAGGAGCCTCAAGTTCCCCCGTCCTCTTTTCTTCCCTGGTGTTGTAGCCATTGCTAATTCTTTGCCTTCAGAGTCTGTCCTCTGTAGAATTGGGCTTTCAATTCGCTCTTCCTTTTCTGAACTTGAAAATGGGAAGGAGAGAAGGTCTAATGGAGACAAGAGAGAAGACCGAGAGAGGGAGGGAATTCTGAGAATTTTTTAGAGTAAAGCAAAGCACTAGGTTATCCACAAACAAGTTCTTAAAACCAACTGTGGTGAATTTAACAAACTTGTAGATATAAATTTCTTGCATCAGTTATGTCACTTGAAATACTACCTAGAGGTCATACCGGCCTCTCGTCCCCCTCCTGGAAGTTCACTATGCTTTTTCCACATACCCACTCCCTTCTGAGCCTACTCAGAGATAAAATTCCTACCTAAATTTGTAATTTAAAAAAAAGAAGAATATCACTGACCAAATGACCACTTGGGTACATCATTTTGAACTCTGCTCAACCGGCTTGAATTTCACTGAACTGATTGCTGTTTTACACAGCTGGGCATCAAGCCCAGGGCCTTGTACACGCCAGGTAAGTCCTCGACCGCTGAGCAACGCACTAAGAACTTCAGCACCAACCAAGAAATTACATGCCCTCAGCATTTTCACGGTCATGGTCAAAGCTCGGTAACAAGAGCACCAAAGAGGAAAAATGGCCACGAACAGGGCATCGCCCCCCCTCACAGGTGTGTTCTCGGTTAACCCTTCCAGCAAAGCTACATCATTTTACATGTGAGCATGGTGGGAACTCAGAGAGATCGAGTGTTGGAATTTGTCAACTCTCACACTTTCCAAGAAGCAGAAGCCCAGATCCATCTGAGCCCAGTCCCCCAATTCTTATTTTGCCAGTCACTCTTGTTCTATTGTGAGAGGGAGACCACATTAATGCTCTGACCCTGACGCCATCCATGCTCTACTGTGTTATCTACATGCAAGCAATGAAACAGCTGAGACTTAGAAAATACAGTGTGAACCGTGTGTACAGTTGGAGTGGGACTGACATTATTTCAACCTTCTCTGGCACAGGTCACATATTTTTTTTTTCTGTTGATTGGAAAATCTAAGGAGTGAGGAGAGGGATTTTTCCCCAGCGATGAAAAAGGAATGCCTCTGAGCCTGGTCACTCAAAGACCAAGGAAGCAGATAAGAGATTGTACTGTGTAGGGAGAGAGGACAGAGAGAATGGGGAAGGCTATAAGGCAAAAAGAGACAGTGGACAAACAGAGCTCGGGAAAACTTGATGTGCTTATACGGGGGGAAGACAGCCTTGACCGTCTGCATTGAGGTGGTAAAGACATGATTGATGATTTACAAATGAGAACCATCAAAGGAGACCAAGAAAATCTAGAACTTGGATCTAGGGCCTTTTCCATGACCGAAAACTAGGCACCACTTCAGGAAACGGGGGAGGGAGATGAAGGTAGCGGCGGGTTGGAGAGAGGGTGAAGGCAGGAAGGTGCGGGCGGACCTGACTCCTCTTTCCAAACTCAGGCCAAGCGCATGTGTTGAGAGGAGGAGGGGGAGGGATGTGTTGACTGTGATAAGAACAAATATAACGAGCCAGCAAACACGCTTGCTGTGGTTGAACTCTGGACCATATGAATGGCTTTACGATTTAGCAGAGCAGATACAAACTTTAGACTCTGAAGCAGCACTCTAACTGGAACTCATGGGTCTCTAAAAGCAACCCAGTTTATCTCAGAGGAAACTTGTTTCAACCTGAGGCCACATACCCAGAAGTTGGAGTAGCGTCTGTGGCACACAAGTTTCCAGTTACCTCTGTCATAATTTACATTTCTCCTGCATCCATATTAATCATTTTCCTACACAGTGCTATCTTGGCAGACTGTAAAATGCATAAAGAATTCATGCTTTTATTCAACGCCATGTGCTAAACCGTTTCAAATATATTTGTGTTCTGAAGAAGCTAAACAGACCACAGGGAAACTAAACAGAGTACGAAAAACACACACTGCCAGGTGAAATGCAAACGGGGGTCAGGAGCTGAGACATGCAGGCTGGCCCTCCCAGGATCGTACAAAACAGGCACGCTCAGGTTATCACAGAAGAGCCGGGTCTCTTTCTAGAATTGCAACCAAACAGAACACAGTGAAAACTAATAAATGGGGAAGATTGCTCAAGCTTTCCAAGTCAGGGTATTAGAAAGATAAACAGAACCATCTTTTGAAACAAATATTAACCGTACAGTAGAGTCCTGGGTCTAAATCATTTGTTTTCAGTTCATACTGTGTTTGAATGAAGCCGCACTTTATTCTTTGGATAAATTCCAGTGATTAGTTCTGAAAGGCAAAATAGCAACTCTCAAGATTCCCCATTTGTATCATCTCCAGAATCCATCGCCCCTACCCCCCAGTACAGGACCAGGGTTCGTCAAGTACAGTGAGTGGGGAACCTGTGGACCACCGAGGAACTGTCCCTCAATAAACACCACACCAATCTCACATCAGTTCCTTCTGTAGAAATGTTTAAGCAGCAAGGAAATATTTGATGTGTTTTGGCAATCAGCAGATCAGACAGAAGAGCAGTACCAGGAGGATGTGTAATCTGACATGATTAGACTGGGCTTTTTAGTACCAGAACATTCATAATTGAGACAAAGAAAGAGTGTTAATAACACTTTCCTAGCACGGCAGTTAGCCATTTTATATTTCCTTTCTTTAATCTTAGTGTTTTTCAACAAATCGTGGGATTTAATAGCGTGTTTTGGCAGATTAGAGGATTTATGGCCCAGATGTTTTTTGTTCTAAAAATGGATTAGGGTGTAAAGTTTGCTGGAATCCATGGAACATGTTGAGGCAAGCTGGTCATTTTATGTGTGATTAGTGCCTGCCTTCTGCCTCACAGTCCCTCCATCTGTCACAACTCACCAATGGATCTGGTTAGATTTAGCCTCATGTCACAAACAAGTCCTTTTCTGGGCAATTTCATGTTACAGATTCATTTTATGCCATTTTATGCCCCAGTTAAAAGATAGGGAGAGGAGGATGTGATAGTACCCATCCTTCAAATGTTCCAGAAAGTATCATTCCCCAATCCATTCTACCCTAAGATGATACAACTTGGCCTAATAATCAACAGTGAATAAATGACCAGCAGTGCAGAGCAAAGTAAGTTTAAATTATGTTAGCTCCTTCCCCCTGTCAAACTGGAAAAGAACTGCTTTGGCTGTGACATTTACTAACCCTGCTTTGTGGAGTTTCAGACCCAAACTGGCCCCTTGACCAACTTATTAAAGAGTGTGAATTAAGTGTGACTAGAGCTAATAGTATCCACAATTTGGTATCAATTCCAGGTTTTTGGTCACATTCTGTGCTTGAAATTTAGCCTCTCTGCTATTAGAAGCATGGATCTGTTGCCAACCATTACCACCTGTGGTCTATTCCCACAGTAAGTGGATTTGGGGGAAAAGGCTCTTCTTCGAGTCAATTAACAATGCTTTGTTCCATCTGAGTGTAACAATCCTAATTGTACTATCCGCCAACTCTGAACTGGCTTTTCAGATACTGTGAGAGACTCAGTAATCATAGTGGTAATGACTAACATTAGATCTGATGGTGGAATGCATGTGATCCTTGCATGGACAGAAAGAAAAAAAAAAGACTCAAAAAGTTTAAAAGATTTTACTGTTAAGCTTTAAAATACTCAGTATTGGGGCTGGAGAAATGACCCAGCAGTTAAGAGTGCTGACCGTAGCCTTTCGGGGACCCAGGTTCTACTTCCCAGCATCCATGTTGGGCAGCTCACAACTACCTGAAACTCCAACTCCAGGGGATCCCACACCCTCTCCTGGCCTCCCCAGGCACTGCACACATGTGGAGCAAATACAGACAAGCAATCTCTCTCTCTCTCTCTCTCTCTCTCTCTCTCAATTAAAAATAACATAAATCTTAAAACAAAATATTCAGGTATTAACTAAAAGTTTTAGCTAAAATTTTATCTTAAACTTGCATTTGGAATCAACCATGAGTGGCTCAGACTTTATGTTTTTACTGCAGATGCTTGGCAGCTAGGCCACCTGCAACTGTGTGAATCAGTCATCACTGAGTATGCACGCATTCGTGTATTTCAGACAATTTCCATGAAGAAATTATTCTGTGCCAGATCCTAGCCATTACCCCATTATGAAGTAATGTCCACGATGAAAAATCATGCATGTGTGTGTCTAATGTGTCTCATCCTCAGGTTATTTAAATGACCATGATGCTGTCACCAAGGCAATCCAAGAAGCTCGTCAGATGAAGGAGCAACTCAGGCGGGAGCAGCAGGCGCTTGATGGGAAGGTGGCTGTAGTAAATAGCATAAGTCTCAACAACTGCCGGACAGAAAAGGTTAGTGCAGACTGCAGCAGACCGTATTTCTAGGAGCACCCCTAAGTGCTTTTCAATCCTTCCTTCTTATCGCCCTCGAAATGATGGTTCTCCCTCCTCCCTTCCCCCCCCCCACCTCCCATCCATGCAGAGAGCCGGCGCCCATCCAAGTCAAAACCATGGGGCAACTGGAAGCTTCGTAACTTTATCCATCACCAAACTTTCCTGACGATTATTGTCCATTAATGTCAGCCTTTATACCACCAGTTTGTATTAAAATGAAGTGGCATTTGAAACACTGTGCCTGACTAAAAGTTTTGCCTTCCAGGGATGCTTAACTTGTATTTGGGGATCAGCTGGATTTGAAAATGCTGAATCTTCTTTAATCAGCATAAGCTTGGATGATACCCACATCAGATCCTAAGTAGCTAGGCTTCCAAGCTTGTCATGATGTTGCCACTGTCAAGTGTTAGCAGCTGCAAAATTGGAAAAGTTGACTTTATCATAAAAGAAATGTGCATTTGAATAGTCTGCCCTACTTTGCTCTACCCAGAGCGAGTGAAGCGTCTTTCTGACCTTGCCCACGATCTGGCAATTTCAAGTCATTGTATTTAGGAATATGCTGTGTTTTACTAGAAAACAAATCATGCCATTGTAGGCTGCTTGGAGAGGTGGAGTTATTTTGGTAAGACCTGAGTGGGAATTCTGATGAGTTCCTGTGTTCTCTTTCCATCATCCTACGGGTACTGTAGATAAGAGGGAGCTTGGTCAGCTGGTAGCAGCCATTTAGAAGTTCATGCTGGGGAAGCACGGGACCCACACAGGAACTGCTCAGAATGAGCAGCTTGCTGGCTGGAGAGCTTTCTGATTTGCCAGGTTTCATGTGGGATTGGGTAGTTATCACCTTCAGCTACAATACAGCTGAAATGTGAGGTTGATCCAACACAACTGTTTCTTCGGGTCCACACATGAGTAAATATCCAGGATAGAGAAACAATTTCATCTCCAGGGGGAAGAGAGCAGCTAGGTCAGAACACATCCCTGTATCCCTGCATCCTGCATCCCTGCATCCTGGTAGCCCTACATCCTATAGCCCTGCACCCTGCATCCCTAAATCCCTGTGTCCCTCTCCATCTCAATCCCTGCGTCCCTGCATCCCTGTATCCCATCCTGCATCCCTCATCCCTGTGTCCCCCTCCATCCCTGTATCCCTGCATCCTGTATCCCTGCATCCTGGGGTTCCTCTCCATCCCTACATCCCTGTATCCCTGCATCCTTCAGAGCCTTGTAGCCTAAGTGAGACATCAGTGCAATGGTGAAAAGATTTCTCAAGTTCGGTGGTAGAACGGAAGGGGAACGAAAGCAAAGTGACGGCTCTAAGGAGTGATAGCTAGCATAAAGACATTTACATTCAAATATGTAAACGTTCTTGAGAGGGTGCTAGAGCAGAGAATCCTTTCCCTTCTCCCCATGTAGAAACAAGTTTAGCGCTTGGTCAGATGCTAATGCAAAGTGACTCAGGCCATTTCCTCGCAAGCAGAGCTAAATTGCTGTTATTTGTTAAGCGTGCTGAATTCAGCTGTGGATACAGCAGTTGGTTGCATTCAGTGAGCATCTGTACCCCCTTTTTTCTAATCCTCCAAAGCTGAGACAACGCTACCTGTGTCCCCAGTACTGCCTGGGAATTGTCAAGTGACGACCGACCAAATCCTGTTGGACAGGAAGCCCCCATCCTGAGTTCTATATACTTGCAAAATAGCCTTGTGGTTGGATCTGGGAGCCTGTTAAAAGCACTTTGATGGTATGGAAATTCATCTTCGTGAAGCGCCTAGGCCCCTAAGCAGCAAGCTGTTTAGTTGTGGTTACAGATCAGTCATTCACATCGGAGGGCAATAATTGTGCTGACGGCTTGTAAGGCAACCAGAGTACATAAAATAATCCAGGCCCTCCGCCACGGCAAAGCAAGTTAATCTTCTCTAATACAGATCAGCTGCTGTTCTAACACATGACTCTGCTGACACTGGTGACTCCATGGCCTTTTGAATAAGTAACAGCGGTGCAGCAGCCCGCTCGCTCTGTCCCCTGCCCGTTCATTATGAGCAGAAACCACGTATCCTTCCTCCACAAGCCTTTCCTTACACCTCTTTGGTTAGCACCTCTTGTTTGAGTTGCAGGAATATTGTTGCCCTTGTTGACAGCTACAACTTCAATTTTCCTCTCTCTTTAGTGGAGTTCGCAACATCTATTTTCTTTAAATCTGCTTTTTAAGTCATTGGCCAACTGAGTTGCCACTTGTCTCAAATTCAATATTCAATGGCTTCACCCATGCCTTCCTACATAATTAAATCTTTTAAATTATTTTTAGATTAAAAATATGTATACATATGTATATATATTTGGGGGGGGGTATGTGCTCATTATGAGTGCAATGTTTGTGGAGTCCAGGAGAGGGTGTCAGTTCACCTGGAGCTGGAGTTACAGGCAATTAGTTGTGAGCCACCCACCATGGGTGCTGGCAACCAAACTCTGGTCCCTCTGCAAGAGCAGCAAGTGTTCTTAACTACTGAGCCATCTCTCCAGCCCCATAATTAAATCTTGAATCATGTTATTGTTGGTTTGGAGTGAAAACCTGAAGTTATGAAAATAAAGCCATTTCCAGTGATGTAATAGTACAGCAAGCTCTTTCCATAAGAGAACTCAGCCAAAGAGCTTGAATCAGCTCCCTCACAGCCCTCGGATGTGGAGAAGTAAACCGGGTGTGCTGGAGGTTTCTACAGCAGGTATTACCATGCTGTGTGATTGCCTTTCAGTTGGGTGAGCCTGGCTATCATTTTTGCAATGGTCAGTCTCTGCAACATAAGGGAACATGATATTCGTTGCAGATTTATGTCTGTCAATCAGCATTCTTCAACATTAGCACCTACTGTGTGTTATGGACAGTTCTGTGTGCTGGAAGTGTAGTTTGAACCATGACATATGACCTCTGCTGGCAGTGTGTGTCAAATTATTAATGTATCAATTACAATATTTGTATGTGTGAGTCCATCTCTCAGGATTGGGTGAAGACACCATGTTGCTTAGTAGGGCCTACCAATTATTTTTCTCTGTCAACAGAAGTGGACATTTGTACTACACAAAGTTAACATCAGGATGCTCTCTGTACCGTTAAACTACCAGTTCTTGCCTTTCTATTAGGTGCAAAAATAAATCATTTGGTTTTATCCAAGGTCCATTCAGATGTTTCATGTTGTAATTTCATGTTGTAATTTCATGAAAATTACAAATTTCATGTTGTAATTCTGGAGGGACATTGGCAGAGTATGTCATAAATTTGTCTCATATTTCCCACTATCATCTTCTCATGCTATTTAAAGGTCCATAAAAAGGATATTTGTCAGTCTAAAATAATAATCATGAGGCTGGAGAGATGGCTCAGTAGACCCAAGGTTAGTCCCCAGCAGCCACATTGGGCAACTCCAACTGCCTGTAACTGTAGCTCCAAGGGATCCCAATTCCCTCTTCTGGCCTCCATGGGACCTGAACTCACATGCACACACCACAGACACAGACACAGACAGACACACACAGACACACACACACACACACACACACACAAATTAGCGAACACAATAGAACTTGAAAACAATAAAATAAAATGTTATAACTTCCTAATATGTAAAAAGTCTGTAGGATGTGAGATGACAGAGAAATAAAGAGAAAGATGGCAAAAGACGGGATAGCATCAAGAAGGAAAGAAAAAATATGGGCCTCACACTATGTACCCGTCTACGAGGGTGACAACATGACCCCAGATCCGGATAAGTGGAGTCCTGTCCTGGAGATCCATTTCCTTGGGTACTCAAACCTTATGCCTGTTAGCTTTTCTTCACCTCTGGAAAGCACAGTTGCCCCAACTAGCAGGTCTCAGTTCTACAGAGCTATAATTGGCCAGTAAAAACAATTAGAGGTGTGAAGATGGGGACAAATGTTTTCCTACAGATATGTACCAAAACACATCATGAAAGTCCTTTTTACTGAAACGCATTTTAATTGAAGATGTCTGAAAGGTTTTTCACTTCTTTACTTTTCTTGGAAGTGTTTCAACATACCCCAGAACTGTGCATGTCAGGTTTCTTGGAAACTCTGGGACACAGAGTTATTTATAATTGTCATCTCTGGTTAATTATAGACTGATTGTATATTCATATAATGTTATCTTATGCCATAGAGCTCTGCTGCACATAACATTATAGTGCAAATCTCACTGTTACTAGTAGAAAAAACAGCTTCTCAGGTAGGTAGAAACAGGAGGGCTGGTGGCTCTCCTTCATTAACAGTGACATGTCATAGACTTGACCAGACAGATGAGTGCTCAGCAGATCCTGGATCTTAAGGTTGCAGTATCTGTCTGTAATACGAGATCCTAAGAACCACATTTTGGGTTGTGTTGATCCCACCCATGAGGCAGTGTTGCCACAACAGAGGATCAGCGCTCAACCTGAAGTGAAAACCTGTCTAGAAGGTTCTCTCATTCCAAATGTGGTTTTCCTACGAGGAGTGTACCTGTGCGGTCACATCTGTTAGAAACACATTTCTCAACACATATTAGGAACTCTAAGTACAGGATTGTAAACAAATAGTGGTTAATTGTCATCAAGTTCAGAAACAGGAGATGGACGGATGCTGTTAGTTCATCGGCCGCACGGGTGAAAATTTCTATGACTCTTGGTTCTTCCCTTTCACTACAAAATGGTTGATGTATCTACAGTCTAACTCCCCACAATCCTGAAGGCTAGTGGTCTCAGGTAAGGGCTATTTTCTCTTTGCTAAATTCACCCTCCACTCACATTGGCAGCTGACTTCCAAAAACTATCTTGTAGCTAGAACTGGGTCAAATACCTTCCTTTAAGGCAGTTACTGACCTAGGGCAAGACTGCTTAAAGTGGGTCATGAATCATTATGTGCAACTGATTAGAGAACATATTTCCCCTGAGATGGAAAGATACTTTGAAATCAACAGG